AGGTGGGTGGTCGAGGTGGAGGGCCGGCGGGGAGCAGAGAGGTCCACAAGAATGGCTGGCTTAAGAGGATGCCGACACAGGAACGTCGCCTCTCTGTCATGGCACCCTTCGGCAAGGTTAGTGCCCCCCTCACGCTAGGGCCCGCATCCCTCTCCCTGCCATCGGCCCACGGAACCGATGTCAATCCAAGCTTTCCCTCTTTTCTCTTTCCGTTTCTCTTCTACCACTTCTGCTATCATCGCGCTCTTTCTTTAGCTCTTCTGACGAGGCCTTTCAGTCCACTATCATTACCAGTTTCTCCCTTTCCCCAACACTGTCGTCTTCCCCAATTTATAATTCCTTTCCTCACCATCACTGCCTTCCCTGCACCCTGTCGATCACTATCACCCTTCGCCTTGCCTACCGGGCGCTCCAGAGGCCCCTGTCATTTGGTTCTCCCTGAATCCTTCCCTGAGCCTCAGGGACTCACAAATTAACCGTTAGTCTATTGTCTAATCAAGAAGCCTATTTTAGTTGTTAACTAGGGAATTAATCTTACATTGATGTAGGTGGACAGATTTATTTTACTGCAACAGAGTATATATCAGATCTTAACGAGCTTTCACTGTTGGCTTCATGAACTGCTAGTCCCCTTTTTACAACTAAAACACTACGAGTCATTATATTCGCAGCATATTACACACTATATTTCATAATCGTGACTAGTATGAGACCCGTTAATTATGTTTGTTCTATTTAGATTTTTATTCTTAAAACAACATTAAAATTAAATTCACAAACTTTCCGATCATAGAAACAACTGGCTTTGAACTTAAATTAATATTTCAGTATTATTATGCTACTCTTTTGATCATTATTGCTATCTCATGTATTGGTATTAATAACTTAAACGAGAATGATAAGGTCTTTCTCTTTACTTATAACACTGTTATCTGCAACTATATTTTTTACAATATTGCCATCGACGTGTCTACCATCATTCTTTTTTTTTCTTATATATGCGAGTTATGAAGCCATCAGCAATTCTAGCACTGCAAGCTGACATGCCACCCTAATCAGTGACATCATCATCATCATCACTATCATCATTATCACCCCCCTCCCCCCAACGCCGCCGCCACTACCAACACCTCCCCCTTCTTCCCCTTCGCTCCCGCAGCCGGCGAAGGCAGAGAAGCTGTGGGTGTCGTTCTGCGTGCACGACGAGAGCGAGGGCTGGCTGGAGTTCTACGAGAACCGCCGCTCCGCCTTCAGCCACAACCCGATCCACCGCACGTCGCTCGCCCGCTGCCTGCACGTATCGCCCTCCATCCGCGTGCATGAGGACAACGAGCACGTGTTCGCCATCACGCTGGAGGGCGAGGTCATCAAACTCGGTGCTCAGAGTAGGTAAGACCGCCAGGAGACACGTTTTGTGTGAGGTAATTAAGGTAATTCGTAGGTGATTAATGTATGCGCGGACAATTCTTTTCCTGCGTGGTATAACAATCCTTCGAACAGGTTAACTATTTGAATCTTGAAAAAATAATAATCCTGGTTAAGTTCTATGTTTAGCTTCTGTATCTATTATGTGGTTTATTAAGTGTAATAAATACCTTGTAAGAATATTTTTGAGTTTTTTAAGAAGTGCTAAAGACCAACAGTTTTTCCTTCATTCATCATTTCGCTATTTTTTTCATGTTTATTCTAAAAGGGTAAAAACTTCCCTGCCTCTTGAAGTCATAACATCTGACAAAGGTTTTAGATATGAATGATAAAATTTTGGATTGTATGATAACAAATTTAATAGGGAAATAAGCTGTTTAAATATCAAGCAAGGTTTTCAAAACTTTTTTTTTTGTGGGATATATTCAGAATCCGTACAGTCACCACGGGATTTTTCGATGGAAATATAGCAATTTTGATAACAGCATTTTTGGCATCCCGATACTTTTATATATTTTTTCTTTCTCTTTTTATGGGCGATATATTAAGAACGAAAAAAAACAAAAATAAATACATTATATTTTTCGCCTATTGTATCGTACTATACAACCCCCCCCCACCTCCCTTTCCCCTCCAGAGAGCAGATGATGGAGTGGATAGACTCACTCCGAAGCAGACTACGCGAGCTCGGAGTGCTGACGCCGAAAGATAACCTCTATAGCAAGGAACCGGAAGGCCTTCGATCGCCGCTGCTCAGAAACCCCAATTCCCCGCTGCCGCCCACGCCCACGTTTCAGTTCCCGCCGCACGCCCTCGAGTTCCGGGGTGAGTCCTGTCAGCTGCATGCGTCCGTAGATACATACTATAGGTGTGCCTTTAATGTCGGGACTATAGGACTATGCGTTGGTCCGGGACATAGTTTGCAAATAGTTGTGTACGATGTGTGTACACACACACACATACACACACACGCGCGCGCGCGCATATATATATATATATATATATATATATATATATATATATATATATATATATACATATATACATATATATACATATATACATATATATACATACATATATATACACATATATATGTATATATACGTATAAATATATAAGAATAGATATACATATATATGTATATATAGATTGATACGTGTGTGTACTTGTATTTATATGCGTATGCATGAATGTGTGTATGTATACATGTATGTATGTATATATGTATGTGTGTATGTATGTACATACATACATACATACAGACATATATATATATACATATAAATACATACATATATATTATATATATATATATATATATATATATATATATATATATATATTTACACACACATACACACACACACACACACATATTCGTGTGTTTTCCTGTACTTCCCTTCGTTGTTCTTCTTGCAATTTGTGTGACATGAATTCCACACACACACACACACACACACACACACACAGACATATGTATGTATGTGCGTATATACATATATATATATATATATATATATATATATAGATAGATAGATAGATAGATAGATAGATAGATAGATAGATAGATAGATAGATATAGATATAAATATAGATATAGATATATATATGCATGCCTCCACCTATAATGTAGGCACTTAGAACAGCTTACTCTCGTGAGCATTGCCTTTGAGGCTCGTCCGCCCCCCCTCGGCGCTCGACCCAACGCCTGCCTCTCCCCGCAGACGACGTCTCGAGCCTGCACTCGATGCGCCTGGGCCTGAGTCCCGCCCCCAGCATGACGCTCTCCACGGCGTCGGGCATGTCCGGCCTCTCCTCCATGCAGAGTCTCAACTCCGTGTCGTCCGGCTCCTCCGACCCCAACACGTCGCCCTCCTCCGTCGTCACCTACGTCCGCCACCACCACGACCCTCCGCTCAACAGGTAACGCGTCGCCAAGCCTCGCGCCGTCTCCCCTCTCGCGCTGTTCGTTGCTCCTGTTAACGGGATCGCTGTCGAAATGGGTGACGGGTTTTACGTCTGGCATGCATAATGACCGGTGATTTAATTACCGACTCATATGGGAGAGTTTTGTAAAGTTTATGTTATATATATATATATATTTTTTTTTTATTCACGACATGTTTCCCTAACTTTAAAGTAAATGTGACATTTTGTTTCCTACGTTACCATGTATGTTTCCTTACACAGCCTTCTGGCCTAGTTTTAAACCGCCTGCTTGTGATCTTCACAATACCCCTTTCAGTACGGCCGAGGCGCGAATAACCTTTGTGTTGGCCTTTCTTCCAGGAGATCGTCCTTCAGAGCGTCCCTTCCCAGCTCCCCGACCACGCCTGCTGGAGGGTCTGGTTCTCTCACCTTCCTCAGGTCGCCGCCAGGGCCACAGGTAGGAGTTTTCTTGGAATGTCATTGTCATCCAAATCAGCTGGCCATTATATAGTCTTAATCGCTGAATACAGTAGAGATATCTTTGTGGAAAACTGCATGATTATTTGCGCCCGACAGGCTGCTCCTCCGCGCGAGCACGTGACCGTCATCAACGTGCCGTCGCCTACGTCTTCCGTCTTCAACTTCGACAGTGTCGGCGCCGCCCTGGAGTCCAGCGGCGCCATGGCAAACTCCCAGCTGTACGGTGCCGTGTATCCGACCCCAGACCCCTCTATATGTGACTCCACGGACACCCTCGACGCAAGCGAAGTGTCCTATAGTACGATATCTGACCCAAACGCCGTCCAGCTTCGTGTAGGGAACTCCCTGGGTGCTGGCGGAAGTGGGGGAGGCGGCGCCGGAGGAGGGCGGCCGCCGTTGCCCCCGGGCCAGAGATGTGCTAGCGGCTACGGCAGCGCGGGCATGGGCGCCGCCGCCGCAGCGTACGGTGTGGGAGGAGGCGGCATGAGCGCTAGTGGAGGCGGCATGGCAGCATCGGGGGGCGGGGGAACAGTGGGTGCCAGCAGCGTGGCAGGAGGAAGTTGGTCCAACGTCAGTTCGCCGGAGAGTTCGTACGAGCCGCTCTTTTTAGCAAGCAGCGCGGGGCTGGCCCCCCCGCCCACTCCCACCGCTGCCCCCGTGCCGCAGGCGCCGCAGACTGGACTTCTGCGCCGGCGCTCGGAGCATCGGAGGTCTGGCAGGCGAGAGCATGGCAGAAGGGCGGCCTCGGTCGGTCCTTCTATAGCACCTAAACAACAGCCGGTAAGATAACACGTTGTCAGTCTATGGAAGCTTGTCGGCATTTCCCCTCAACAGAAGGAAAAAACTAATTCTGTGAACTGCCTTCAAATAGACGGTTATACCTGACTCATTACCGCCAAAAGTTAAACTTTTAATATTGGCGATAAATTCTTTTATCTTAATCTTTGTCTCATTTCAATATTTCAATTTCAATACTAATTAAGGGTTGTCAGAAGTAAAAATATGCAAATTTATTTGAAATCTGTACTTTATATCAGTTCCACCGGTACGTTATTGGCAATATATGAAATATCTGTATACACAGTTAGTGTGTCCAGGTAATTAATTTTGTCAATGCGGAAAGGATAAGTCTATTTATTCTTATTAGAACCATTAAACCTAACTACTAAACACAACCAATAATCTTTTGGTCAATACTATTTTCGCTCTTGCTTGACCATAACCACCAATGCTACAATTCCTCCGAAAAAATTAACGAATCATTTAACATGCTAGAACTGCCATTACCATGAAAGCAATATTCCTGCACGAGCGACGCCCATCTAGTAAAACATTCTGAATAACACTATCCACGCCACACCACCTGAATAACATTACCCGAGTCAAGCCCACTGAATATCCACTAACACAGCATGAATAAGTGAACCCAACACCCTCTGAATAAAAGCGCCCGAGTGACCTCCCCACCTGGCTCCACAGCAACAGCAGTACCAAGTGGGCCAGGACGGACGCCTGATGAGCCTTCGCGAACAGCAGGTGATCAGGCTGCAGCGCGAGATTGCGCACCAGGCCGGCGTCAGACTCACGCTGCGCAAAAAAGACTGCATGAATTCCATTGCATTTGTTAACGTATTCAACCACGTGAGTATTCCGACGTCCACATGATGTCTCAGATTGATTGAATATTTTGAGTCCAGCTGTAGAAGTAGTTTTGTGCATTCGCCGAAATATGAAATTGATATCAATGTGATTCACATTTCTCCTTTTCTTGTTCCTAACAGGTGTACGTGGCAGGCTGGAAGCAAAGAGAACACCCATACCTCCATAACACATTCCACATCGGTGACCGCCTCGTGAGCGTGTGCGGCGTGCAGGTCACCTCTGCGCAAGAGGCCCACAATCTTATCAAAAACGAACCTACCATGATGGCAAGTCCTTGAATACAGTTCGTTTCCAACGTCCTGTGTTATAGTCTCCACACGCCCGTCATAACACGTCACGTAATGTAATAGTCTTCGCATTTATAGCTAATTGTTTGTGTTGGCAGGTGGAGTTCATCATCAGACGAGTCCCTCACGGCAGGGTGTTCGCCCTGAAGAGGGAGACGGAGGGCCAAGCTCTGGGCGTCATCCGAGAGGGAAATACCGCCGAGATACGTGAGGTAAACCCCTCCTTCTTGCCTTTGGTTGTTACCTTATTCTTACACTTGCTTTATGTGATTTTATTCTGTCACCCAGCTGGAAATTTGATAAACTCGTTTTCAGTTTAGAAGTTATCGTTCTTCTCGTTCTTTCCCGTAGGTTTCTCTTTTATCGGCCTCTTTTTTTCATTTTTTATTCCACTTATTCGTTCTCTAATTCGTATTTACTAGATCTGCTAAATCAGTTTATATCACCGCATCTTCTTTTTGCCATCCCACCACAATATATATTATCATTCTTGCTCACATTGGTTTTCTTTTTTCTTTTCCTTGATTTATCCTACTTTTCATTTCTACATTTGGTGTAATACTGTAGTCAATTGCTCAACAACTGCATAGCGCAATACATATTTATTCCATGCTATTTTATAACCATACGAGAATGCACACGAAATGTACAAATACACTTGCTCATAAGTTGTACGGTTGGTCACACAGATCGTTCCCGGCGGACTGGCTGCTCAGCATGGTGTTCCCCCGAAATCTCAGACGGTTGATGGCACGTCCTTCTGCTCGTGGGTGCTCACCGAAATCAATCACAGACCATTAAATCTCTTCTTTAAGGTGATTACCTTGAACTCCTCTCTTAGTTAAAGTACCATTGTCACTTATCTTTTTTCCGATCAGTTAAGCTGGATTATATGAAATATCTTCTATTTTTCCATATCAGAAAGTGATATAACCAACCAGACAGTTTAGATATAATATGCAAACTTCTGCGACGGTACTGATATTCAATTCCGCCTTCACAGCACATGGAGATAGCTGACCGTCTGAACGCGGTTGGGCGGGACATCTCCATCCTCATCCAGCCTATGGACCTAGTCAAGCAGCTCAAGAAGAGTCTCAAAGCTCTTAAAGGCTACAAAGACTACATCGTGATGTAAAAGAAGCAAATCCTTCGTGTGAATGGATTAGCTTCGATGTAAGGCAGGAGGGGAGGTCGAGGATGAAACCGAGGGCTTCCAAAAAAGGAGCGCCGTACGCACTCGATTCGGAGAAACCAACACAGACTCTGAGATCCCCGCAGCCACTGAAGCCTTGCATATGTGCCAAACTCTAGTGATGTGATAAACTGTGCCAATCTGACATGTGTGCAATGCATGTCACCAGAGATGACAGAGGCTGAAATATCAAAACTCTTGCAATACACACATTCCCTAAACATGTTTAGAATTGTATAATTGTGAAGTTTTTGTCTAGATTATCTCGTCGGTGGTCAGATTAGAGAAATGCATAATATATTTTTGTTACAATGACGTCATATCCATATTGTGCTGTCTAGTTACCATTATGGAAGCCACTTTAAGGCTTTAGTATTGATGATCGTTTCTTTTGCTGGTCGAATCTTGCTTTATGAGAAAATACGTAATACCTGTTATTGGTGTGATGCATGTGAATGAAGTACTCTAAATCGACTATGAATGAGCGGTTTGTCCGAGTAACAGACATTTCTAGAACTT